CGGACACCGCGGTCTGCTAGCCAATGCAGCCAAGAAAGAACGATCCTGCTTACTCCAAATAATGAGGCTACCATACACATGGAGCTACCTGTAAGCTCTCATCTTCTCTTTGCGAACCATTTGTGAAGAAAGTAGACTACCAGAATAGATGGCTGATGCAAATATCATTTCACAGGGATCATCCGCCTCCTCCCAAGGTCACAAACCTTCCATCCTTGCTCTCCGTTACAACGTTATCGTCGTAAATATCCGCACTCCACCTGACGGCAAGAACCATTGTCCACGGCTTTTAAAGATACCATTAATCAATGTACCGACTTAAATCGTAGACAGTTATTATTAAAAAAAATAATAAAAAAAGAGTTAAGACGTATCGAAGAGAAGGAAAAATGTTCTATAATGAATTATGACCTCTATATATATTCTATGAAAAAGAAAAATGCATCTCCTTATCGTGTAACTAAAAGTTGCTGATGGCTTGCCCCATTTATCGGAATAAATATCAACTATTCTCGTTGATATTTAATTATTCCAGAATTGGTCAAATACCCATTCTTGATTAATAAAGAAAAGCTAACCACGTATGCGTTTCGGGCTGTGTATAAGAAAATATTTTTAAAACTTAATTCTGTTGACGTTATGTGGCGCTGAGTTTGTTATTGGCACACATTAAATATGTTATAACACTTTGATAAAGGTTGGCGTTCAGCCAACTGAAATATTGGTAAAATAAATTATATTTTGATCTAATATATGCCTTTTTAATAAATAAAAAAAAAAGATTATGTTATACCTATTTGACCCAGAAGGCTTTAGGCGTAATAAATTCTAATGATTTATTAGTTGCACCGAATATGAAAAGCGAAACAATTCAAGGAAGTTTGAACTTTGTGGTGTCTAGATATTTCTCAAACATATACACCCATACCTCGCTTTGCGTTGGGGTTACGTTCCAAAAAAACACGACGCAAATTGAAACGACGCAAAGTGAAAATAAAATTTTGATGGCATGGCGCAATCTAAAACAAAGGTGTTGCCATATTTTAGGAAAAAAAAATTAAAGACTTGATTCCAAAACAACGCAACTTCGAAAATCTAACGACGCACAGTGAAAATCAGTAAAAATTAAGCAGCGACGCAACTTCGAAAAAAACGCAAAACGAAACGACGCAAAGCGAGGTATTGGTGTATTATAAAGTCTTCCTGAAATATGAACAACTTCCTGAAATATGAACAACCTCCTGAAATATGAACAACTTCCTGAAATATGAACAACTTCCTGAAATTATAGAATTAATATTATTTAATAATCTGTAATATTTAATTAGTTTATTTTACCATTTTATAACCTTTAAAATTTCAAAATTTAGATATAAATCAAATTATTTTTAGAAAAAAAGGATTGTGTTTGGTTTTATTATCATGATGGAAGAAGGGAAAGTTCTAGATGCCAATAAATTAAATGAGAAGCAAATTCTGCAGGGTCTCAAATATCGTCTGCCAGAAAAGAAAAAAAAAGGTAAAAAGACATTTGGCAACAGTTCAAATCAGTGAAAGATAAAATTCCAACCTCTCTAGTGCCATTTCCATATGATGGTTTTAAAGCAAAATGATCGCCATGTTTTACATTTCTTTTTTTGTCTTTTTTACCCTTTCCCTCCCCTAACTTTAAATAATTTAAGTTTTTATTTTTATTTTTGTGTATTGAAATATGCAAATTTATATGTAAATATAGGGTATAAAGAATTTAATTAAAATACTTGCATCTTCAAAAGTAATGCTGAAATGGTCCTAAATTTTGAACAGAAGAATATATTTCAAAGTATTCCACGAATTACGATTTCATATCAATCTTTTTGTCAATAATTACTCTTTTTAATTACGTGCAATATTACCTATATATTATATATATGAGCATAAACGCATAATGAATGCTTGTAATATGGTTTTTATATTCGAATTGATATATATTATGCGAAATTGATTTTGGTTTTAGAATATTAACCCATTTAGGAAGATTTACGTTATTAATTAATATTTATCTTTATTTTATTGATATATAAACAAAAATCTTTGGATCAATAAAGCTTAATTAAATTTTAGAATATTGCTTTTATAATTTATAAATTCTGAAAATGGTAATTATGAAAATTGTTTTGGTTTTGAGTAATTTTTATTTAAGATATTTCGTTTAGTCCATCTTTTACTATGTAAAACCGAAAATTGTTTTGGTTTTCAAAAATCTCCTTTTCAGATATTTCGATTAGTCCATCTTTTACTATGTAAAACCGGCGGTAAATATGTTCTAAAACCTTCCAGCGATATCTGAAACCCGCGGTAAATCTGTTCTAAAACCTTCCACTGATATCTGAAACCCGCGGTAATGACAAACCCTTCATATTCCAAACCCTCTTTTTATTTTAATAATTATATATTATTTTAGGTATATGATTTTCAAAATAACCCTGTTTCATTATTTAAAACTTTATTAAATATATAATATTTATATTTAAAATAAAAGGATTTAAAAGCGCGAATGTTTCTTTTATACATAAAACGAACTTCTACTGTCCTTACTGCGATGAAAAAATATATTGGGAGGGCTTGGCTCATCAGTGGTGAACCCTCCCAGCTGTTTAGCCAATTTAATCCACCAGACTGCTTCTCAGAGCTCTAATACTGTATTGGATCATTCTGCTTTTATATGCTACACTGAAGGATGGAATCTTAGAAATGGTTTTCAAGTAAACTATGGACATAAGCTTATAGGACATAAATTTACTTGAAAACCATTTCTAAGATTCCATCCTTCAGTGTAGCATATAAAAGCAGAATGATCCAATACAGTATTAGAGCTCTGAGAAGCGGTCTGGTGGATTAAATTGGCGAAACCGCTGGGAGGGTTCACCACTGATGAGCCAGGCTCTCCCATTAATTTTTTCATTGCAGTAAAGGCAGTAGTAATTGTTTATTTAAAAAAAGAATCATACGCGTCTATAATAGTTTCGAATTTTGAAAATAAAGACTCATAATTACACGGCAACTCAGAAAGTTATTGATATATTTTTGTTTCCGTGCTTCATCATTTTGTTAAAAAAAACTTCTTGAAGTTCCATGGCTCCCTTCTTCAAATATATTTTGGCTTCTAAGATGAAGCGATGGTAAAACTATTTGCTAGATAAAATTCCTGCTAAGCTCTCAAAAAATGTTTCGGAAAGAAAACAGAGAAAAATTATAACTTTACTTATGGATTCTTTACTTGATATTCTCAACTTTGGAATGTTGATGAATCATATAAATTGTAAGATAAAACATTTTGACTATTTCTTTAATTCTTCATATTCCAAACCCTCTTTTTATTATAATAGTTATATATTATTTTAGGTATATGATTTTAAGTATAACCCTGTTTCATTATTAAAAACTTACTTAATAATATTATTTTTATATTTTACGCATTTCAAAAGTTTTCACTTAAAGTGCAATAGTGGCATTTAAGTCTGTAAAGATGTAGGTTATCTATTAATTTATATATATTCATAGACAAAACTTAAGGAAATTGTACCTTTTAGTATGTATATCGGGATTGAGACAATAACTCTGAAAGATACACTCATGGACAAGACTTAAGGAAGTTGTACCTTTTAGTATGTATATCAGGATTGAGACAATAACTCTGAAAGATACACTCATGGACAAAACTTAAGGAAGTTGTACCTTTTAGTATGTATATCGGGATTGAGACAATAACTCTGAAAGATACACTCATGGACAAAACTTAAGAAAGTTGTACATTTTAGCATGTATATCGGGATTCAGACAATAACTCTGAAAGATACACTCATGGACAAAACTTAAGGAAGTTATACCTTTTAGCATATATATCGGGATTCAGACAATAACTCTGAAAGATATTTGATACATAGTGACTTTTATTGAAGATACACGAGATAACCAAGTGTAAAAAAAAATTGTCTCAGTCTCCTTAAAAAAAGACGAATGGACAATTAAAGAATTTGCACTTCCTTAAGTTTTGTACATGAGTGTATATATTTAAGTAACTAAAGATGATGTTTGAATTTGTCTCAAATTTTCTCATTCATCTTCTCAAATTTCGGACACTTTGTCTCAAAGATAGGTACGAATATATTTAAAACGATTTAACTTATTCATAACTCCCAACCTATTGCCAGCCTCCCAGACTCAGCCTCAGCATGGGAATTTCTGGTTAACTGGTTCAACTCAGCAATCAAAACATGACGCGAGTAAAAGCCTTTAGCATTAGTCTATACTAGTGAGCTGGACTCCCTGAGTAGTTGGTGTTCTGTGCTCCATGGGTTATAAATATCACTTTCTACTCCTTTTTTACTTGAAAAGGTTAAACCTTTATATTCTTTAGTAGAAATTCCGTATAATTATTATACACCTATCCCCCGATTTACACGGTAGATACGTTCCTGAGAAAAACGTGTAAATCGGGGGATAGGTGTACACAGAAATAAAAATAAAATGCCTTGACAGGTTAAAATATGTAGTCAGCACATAAGCTCGGGATTCCTCGTGAGATGTGTACACAGCGCATGTGTTCAATCACAGTAGCATTTAGTATAGTGCGATAAAAAAAAAACTTATTTGGGAAAACGTGTAAAACAAGTACCGTGTAAATCGGGGGATAGGTGTATTTATGATTGTTTCAAATATCTACTCTTAAATTTCGACACATCTCAAAATCATATGAATCATACATTTTGATTTTTTATTTATTAACAATCAGACGCGATATTGAAATATTTGCCACTATTACGGAGGAAACAACAAACAAATTAGAACTTAGAATTAAATATTTACATGTATTAATCGAGAGAGTATATAAAATTTATATAAACAAAGTGTCTAGTAAATATACAGTTATTAGCGTCATAATCAAGCAACAATTCTTAATTCTGTCACCGTTTGCTTTGTGAGTGGAATGAATACCCAAATATGGCCATTTCTCATAACCATCGGTGGTTCAGTGGTAGAATGCTCGCGCCTGCCACGCGGTCTGCCCGAGTTCGATTCCCGGCCGATGCATTTTTTTTTTACAATTTTTAAAACTCATTTATATATTATACAAGAATGACATCCACGGCGCCAATTTATAATTGTAACAAATAGTATTTGAATAACAGCATTTAATCGGGTAAAACCCGGGCGTTGCCCGGGTCATTCGGCTTTGTGTAAAATATCTTCAAATTAAAGATACTTCGGCCAGTATATCTTTTTATTATCTCGACGTTTCGACAAAAATCTTTTGTCCTTGTCAGGAGCAAACACAAATTAAAACATTTGGCAAAACGTTAAACATTAGTCTAAGGCTGTAAGGGCGTTCTCACTTTAAATTTTTAATTCTGTACAAATTTTTAAACCTTGAATAATAAAATTATTTACTGGTCGAAGTATCTTTAATTTGAAGAACTATGAATGCGGCCAGTGAGCCTCTATTTTTACGTTAATTAAGAATACATTAAAAAGATTTACTGGCCGAAGTATCTTTAATTTGAAGCACTATGAATGCCGGCCAGGCAGTTTCTATTTTCACGTTAATTAAGAGAGACAATAAAAAGATTTACTGGTCGAAGTATCTTTAATTTGAAACACTATGAATGCCGGCCAGGCAGCCTCTATCTTTACTATAAATAAGAGAGACAATAAAAAAGATTTACTGGTCGAAGTATCTTTAATTTGAAACGCTATGAATGCCGGCCAGGCAGCCTCTATCTTTACTATAAATAAGAGAGACAATAAAAAAGATTTACTGGTCGAAGTATCTTTAATTTGAAACGCTATGAATGCCGGCCAGGCAGCCTCTATCTTTACTATAAATAAGAGAGACAATAAAAAAGATTTACTGGTCGAAGTATCTTTAATTTGAAACGCTATGAATGCCGGCCAGGCAGCCTCTATCTTTACTATAAATAAGAGAGACAATAAAAAAGATTTACTGGTCGAAGTATCTTTAATTTGAAACACTATGAATGCCGGCCAGGCAGCCTCTATCTTTATGTGAAAGAGTTAAATCATTTAGATCAGGGAACAATCGATGTCTCATTTCTGTAGAGTTCGGACAGTCATAGATAAGGTAAAGAACAGTAAAAATTCATACACCTCAAATTTCAATCAAAATTAGTTAATGAAATCATGTAAATAGGTATTAGTCGTATACGAGTGTAATATTAAGAGGGGGAAAACCCCCGCACGCAGAGTGTCACAACGAAGGTAAATATTGTGACAGTATTCATTAGGCGGGGAAACAAGAGTGAGACATAAAATGACGTAATTTCCTAATGGACTGCCCAATACCTGGTGAGGACATTATCTCTTCAGCACTACTCATAATCTACCTACTTTCTGACTCAGCTTGACCACTCAATGCTGACACCATTTCATGGTGGTAGTTAGACATGTGGGATCATTGTATCTTCTTTATTTCTACACACAAAACGCGATATCCCGGCTAGCCAATAAAAAATAAAATTGACAGGTTTTGGGCAAAAATAGTTGTTCTTTTAGTCAGAAAATGATGATGACAATATTGCTGTATCATGTTTGATTATCAGATACAAAATTATATCGAGAAAAATTCCAAAAAGCTGAGACCACGGGTGAAGCCAGTTCATTTTTAGTGTGCAGGAACAAAATTCTAACAGAAAAACATTCATTCGAGCAGAAGACACAAAGCCAGATCATCTCTTTATAAAAATATCGCTTCTCTGACACAAAGTTTGGAGCGGGACGTTTCACAAGAGTGACATCCACTGCGCCAATTTATAATTGTAACGAATAGTATTTGAATAAAAACATTTAATCGGGTAAAACCTGGGCGTTGCCCGGGTCATTCGGCTAGTTAAAATAAAAAAGAGAAACGATAATATATATTAGGAACCTGAACCTTTCAGGTTAGAAAGATAATCATAAATATATTTACAAAAATATTTAAACCTATGATAATTCTCTCTGCTATTTACAAATTGATATAGATCTACAACATTGTTTATTGTCTGTTGTCTAGCGGTGAAGAAAAGTGGGCATTCCAGCAGTAGGTGTCTCGAGTCCTTGTGCATGAAAGTTTGTACTCATAGACAAAACTTAAAGAAGTACCTTTTACCATGTATATCAGGATTCAGATAATATTTCTGAAAGATATTTGATACACAATGACCTTATTTTGACGTTCATTTTGTGTGAGAAATACTGTAATATCTAATGGGCAAAACATATGGAAGTTATACCTTTTACCATGTATATCAGAATTCAGACAATACCTCTGAAAGATATTAGACCTTCATTGATGCTTATTTTGTGTGTGAAATACACTCTTGGACAAAACTTGAGGAAGATGTACCTTTTATCATGTTTATCTGGATTCAGACAATAACTCTGAAAGATACACTCATGGACAAAACTTAAAGAGGTTGTACCTTTTACCATGTATATCAGAATTCAGACAATAACTCTGAAAGATATTCAGACTTTAATTGATGTTTATTTTGTGCGTGAAATACACTCTTGGACTAAACTTGAGGAAGATGTACCTTTTACCATGTATATCGGGATTCAGACAATAATTCTGAAAGAAATTTGATACACAGTGACTTTTATTGATGTTTATTTTGTGTGTGAAATACACTCTTAGACAAAAGTTGAGAAAGATGTACCTTTTATCATGAATATCAGGATTCAGACAATATTTCTGAAATATTTTTGATACACAATAACCTTATTTTGATGTTTATTTTGTGTGTGAAATACACTAATGGACATAACTTAAGGAAGTTGTACCGTTTAGCATGTATAACTGGATTCAGACAATAACTCTGAAAGATATTACAGTGACCTTTATTGAAGACACACCAGATAACCAAGTGCAAAAAAAATTGCCTCTGTCTCCTTCCAAAAACAGACGACCAGCGTCATCATAATATGAAACTTCTTTAAGTTCTGGTAATTAGAGTGTATATATATACACACACACATATATATAATATTGTGGCGAATTAATAATTTATTATTTAATTTAATTATTCAATGAAAATATTTGGAAACAGATTTATTTTTTGTAAAATCATCATTTAGTTGCCTAGCTTGCTTGCTCGATATTCTCTAGCTGTAGATAGTTGGGTTGGTTTGTTGATATTGGTCGACTGGTCGTGGTGACGTCATCAATAAATACGCTTATATATCAAAATATTCCAAGACTAATTTTCTTCGCTACAATATATATATATATATATTCCAATTATTTATATTGTATGTTAACACACACAAAGCAATAACGCGCCATCTATACATATAAAATGAAAGGATTTAAAAGCACGAATGTTTCTTTTATACATAATACAAACTTTTACTGCCCTTACTGCTATGAAAAAATATATATTCCACCCTTCAGTGCTGCGTATATAAGCAGAATCGTCCTATACAGTATTAGAGCTCTAAAGAAGCGGTCTGGTGGATTAAATTGGGGAAACCGCTGGGAGGGTTCACCACTGATAAGCCAAGCCCTCCCAATATATTTTTTCATAGCAGTAAGGGCAGTCGAAGTTTGTATTATGTATAAAAGAAACATTCGTGCTTTTAAATCCTTTAATTTCATATGTATATTGTATGTATTGCATAAAACTAGAAGGTAGTAAATTTATGCAGAAATATGCCTGAACTATTCCATATGTTGATTTTCTCAGCTAGGCTGTGCCCTCACTTAACGGATGCAAGGGAATTAATGACTGTATTATCCCTAGCCACACCCTGCGGGGCGTGGTCAGAAATCTACTTTATGTTTAATCAGGAAGTGACTTTTTATCAGAGTTGATTATACATTTGGTTCGCAATGATTATTGGTGTGATTTCGAAATGTAACAAAGAGTTTGCACAAACATTGGAATATAACCTAGACCAGCCCTGGCCAACCTAAATGACGCCACGGGCCGCACGGAATCGTAAACAAGGTCTAAAAACTTTAACTATATCAAAATTTTAAATTATTATAATTATTTCAATATATTTTCTGTTTTTGAATATACAGACGAGAAATGAATGTTACAAAAGAAATATAAAGTTAAATAACGAGCCGCCAAATTTTTTACGGCGGGCCGCATCCGACCTTCGGGCCGCGGGTTGGCCAGGCCTGACCTAGACAATGAAAATAGGTCATTTGATGTGCATCGAAAAACGATTACTTTTTGGCGGTTTTATTTCATTACACCAGGACATTGAAAATCTAATAAATGACAAATATGCTCTGAATAAATCACTAAATCACTATATCAACTATACACCATAGGAGAATCATTCTTCTCTAAGAAATGAAAGCATTAAAACACGAATTTTTATTTTAAACATAAAACAAACTTCTACTGTCCTTACTGCGATAAAAAAATATTGGGTGGGTTTGGTTTCTCAGTGGTGAACCCTCCTTTAAGTTTTGTTCATGAGTGTATATAACTATTAACACAATGTTGTACAGCTTGCACCACGCTGATGAGGGCCAACAGCTCGAAATGTGTACGTGGTTAGCTTTTCTTGATTAATAAAGAATGGGAATTTTCCAATTCTGGAATAATTAAATATTAATGAATAGTTGATATTTATTCTGATAGATGGGGCTAGCCATCAGCAACTTTCAGTTGCACGAAGAGGAGATGCCTTTTTCGTAATCTTTTAACAGATCCTAATTTTTCCAATTAATGCATCTCCAAATTTTTTACATATAGTATAGGAAAAATACTGAAATTATTAAGCAGGGACATTATTGAATTATCCAACACAAAATCTTTTTCACGCATATTGTTGAATTAATAAACATTTAAAATTTATTAAAGTATTAAACTTTATAAACATCATGAAACGCGATATCCCAAACTCAGGGATATTTGCGTCAATACCTTTCACTGCATCACAGCAATTCGGCTATATACAATCCTGTTCAATTCATTATTTTACATAATTTAACTAAAGAAAATTGTCCAAAGAGAAAAACAAACAACAAGGCAAAACACAGAGAGCAAGCATCGCAGTTCTTTTTTTTTTTCTAA